TTTCTGACGCATCTTTCTGTGAATAATATTCTCATTATCTGAATTTATTTACTTTTAATTTTTAATAATATTAATGCTAATCTCTTTATTTACTATACTGAAATTAATTTGTTTTATAAAACCTTTTAAGTGCAAGCTTAAAACTTGTTTACTTAAAATTATTCGAGGAAATTAGTAAAAAACTTAGGCAAAATAAACTTGAAAAAACAAAATAAAACTTGAAATAAACAAGTTTAATTAATAATTCTGCTGGGATTTTCTATTAATTAAACTTGTTTATTTCAAGTTTTATTTTGTTTTTGATATTTTCCAAGTTCAATCTTAAAAACTTTTTTTACTTAAAATAGACGTTTATTTTCTCTGTTTAATTAAAAAATTTTAAGATTGATCTTGAAAATTATTAAAAATAAAGGAATAAAAATTTTAAGCTTGAACTTAAAAACAAAGTTTATTTTCTCTATTAAATAATAGGTCTAAGTTCAAGTTCAAAACTTATATTTTCAAGTTCAAGCTTAAGACGTTTACAATTTTAAGCTCAAGCTTTCAAGTTCTATTTTCAAGCTTAAGCTTTAATTTTACTTTTCTTTTTTAATTTTCTAAGTTCAAAAATTTTCTATTGTAATTTAAGAGCCAATCGGCTATTTTTTAACTAAAAAGTCCAACTCAATTTCTTTTATTTTTTCCCATTTTCCAGATGCATTAGAGAGACATTTTACTTTAAATACTTAAATGTGTTTTTAAAATTTTTTTAAAAAACTCATGGGATTTTCTATTTATTTTTTAATGGGTTGTTTGTCTCTTAAAAATACTTTTTTTTACTAAAAAAGAAATTGGACCTTCTCAAATTTTCGACTTCAGTTAAAAAAATTCATCCTCTTCCATTTTTCATCTTCTTATTTTTTTAAAATTCGGGAATTTAAATTACTGATGCAGTCAGACCTGAATTTTACGTAAATTCTTAGGGTTGAAAACTCTATCTAAAATCGAGATTATTTATTGTTTAGAGTACCCAGTGGCCAGCCAAATTAGAAGATAACTTCAACTCGAAAGTTGTTTACCTACGTATGGACACGGATAATCGAGATCCAATAAAGGTTCTGATAGTGGGCAAATCCTGATCTCCAAATTTTCTAATCTGATTCGGCTATTCGTGGATTTCCCAAGGTCCGCCAATTCTAGTCATGACTTCTGAATTTTCTTTATTTGTTGGCCATGGGCTAATTGAGCTAATTTCAGTCTTGAACATGTATTATTTTTTCATTAATTATTTTTAAATCCACTTTAAAAATTAAAAAATTTTTTTTCAAATTTTTTGATAGCCCAGCTTTGCAGAAAAATACTAAATTGCCATTTTTTCTCCCTCCATTCTTCCTGCAGTTTTTTATTAGTAAAATTTATTTTTCTCTCCCCCTTTTTTGGCCATTTAATATTTTTATTATTTTTTCGATTTCTCTATGACTATACAATTAAAAAAATATTTTTTTCAACTAAAAATATTAACCAAAAATATATTTTTTATTTTTCTTCTCGTCATTTACGGGAAAAACCTTTCCTTTTTTCTTTGAAATTCTCTAGGGGATTTGGGGGCTGCCACTCTCGTATATACAAACAACACCATCTCACATCATTCTCCCTCCCTCCCTCAACTCCTTGAAAACTACACCAAGAAATATTGCCCTATTTTTTGAAAAAAAGTAAAAAATGTTTTTGACCTTATTTTGAATGTATAAAGAGGACTTTTATTTTACAATTTTTTGGAATAAAAAATTTTTTTACATTTTTGGACTCGTTTATTTGCTGACTTTTCTTTGAAATGTATTTTTATTATTGGACACTCGTATTCTAACTTCAAAAAATAAATCTAACCTCACTAAAGTATCCAAAAAATTATATCTTATAATAAGGGTTATTTAAAAATGGTATCACTCTATTAATAAAATGTAGTCGGGCCTCATTATAAGATATCCCCTTGGACTAGAAAAATGTCGTACCTTATTAATAAGGTGTATCTTAAATTGGGAGTTATCGCTTCAATAGCTCCCCCCTAACCAGTGGCTAATTAAATTTTAAGAAACAGATCTTAAATTGAGGTTTATTCAGTATTCGGGCTATCTAAAAATGAGGGAAAAATGAGGTTCGATAGAATAATTAAAGGATTTAAATTCATCTTAAAGGATAAAAACACTCTAAACCCTGAAATAAAATCCTTTGTTTACCCAATTTTTTAAAAAACCGTCACAAACATTCATCGATTTTATCTCTTTCAATTATCCTATATTTTTCTAAAATATTTTTTATTTTAATTTTATTTTAAAAATTATTTTTTAGTCAATAATTAATTTTTATTTAAATCCGAAAAGAAAATCCAAAAAATTTAATTTTAAAATAAAAAAATTTCAATTAATTTTCTCTAATTATTCTCTTAATTTTATCATTATTCTCACTCTATTACTACATATTTCCTGTCCTTTAAAACAACCTTTTTCTCTGTCAAAAACATTTAATGTCAGAAAAACATTTCTTTCTCTCTTTGTTTTGTTTAAGTTTTCCTCTTATACACTCTTTCAAGTTTATTTAATTAAAACTTTGTTTTAAACATTTTACAACAAACATTTACAATTTGTAATTTAAATAAACTTATTTATAAGTTTACGCTTAAATAAACTTGTTTTCTAAGTTTAAGCTTAAATAAACTTGTTTTTAAGCTTAAGCTTGAACAATTAAATAAGTTTATTTAAGTTCAATCTTAAAAACAAGTTTATTTAAATTACAAATTGTAAATGTTTAAAACAAAGTTTTAATTAAATAAACTTGGAAAGAGTATAAAAGAGGTAAAAGATAAAACAATTAAAATAAACAAGTTTATTTTAATTGTTTTCTTGACAAAATTAAATTTAAAAAAATTAATTTTTTGATTAAAGATTAATTTTAAAAAGAATTTTAATTTGTTTTTGAGTGAAATAATTAAAAAAAATATTTTTTAGTTAATTTTCCCCTTAATTTTCCACTAAAATCAAAAAAAATTTTTTTTTGTCATTTTTAAAGTGAAACCAAAAACTCTTAAATAATATTTATTTTTTCTTTTTTTACCCCCTATCTATTTTCTATCTCTTAAAACAAAGCATTATTCACCCCCAAATTTTCATTGATTATAATGCAGCGCGACGTTTTATATAAAACCTTTTTTTCAGTTTTATATTTGTTCAGGAAATTTTAATAAAACTTTTTTTAAATAAAACTTAAAATGTAAAAGAGATTGGGAGGAAATTAAATTTAAAACTTTTTACAAACTTGAATTATCAAGTTTGTAATAAAAGTTTTGTTAAAAATCCAAGTTTGTAAAAATTCAAGTTTTACAAAAAAAGTTTTACAAATATTGAAGTTTTACAATATTAAGGTTTTTTTTATTAATTCAAGTTTGTAAAAATCCAAGTTTTATTAAAAATCCAAATAAAAATTTAAGTTCAAGTTTATTTTGAAGTTTTATAAAATCAGGATTGTAAAAAAAGTTTTGTAAAAATTCAAGTTTGTAAAGTTTCAAGTTGTAAATAAAAAAAAAAGTTTTAAATGAATTCAGGTTTTATTTAAGTTAAAGTTGTAGCCTTTCAACTTGAATATTTATAAAACTTTTTTGTACATATTTTATAAATTCAAGTTTGTAAAAAATGTTTTATTAATAATTTAAGTTTATTTATTTTAACTTTAATTTTTTAATATTCTTTTTTCAATGCTTTTCATTAATTCAATACCAGACAGCCAATAAAATTAAATCAATTTTTTCAGTCATTTATTTATTAATTTTTTTTTAATTTTTTTTATATTTATGTATATGTACATTTACTTTTTTGATTTTAATTTTTAAATTTTTATTTTGTTTTTTTTTAATTTTATTTAAATTTACCTTATTTTCTTCTCGACGTCGTTTCATCACAAGGTCACTTAACCGTCAAATAACCACTTAGAAACTTGAAATTTTGCATAGACATTCTTAGGGCTGTTAACTAAATTATATAAAAATTTCAGAATTTTTGGTTAAGTATTTGGAAAGTTATAGTTAGAAAGACTTGCAGACTTTGACATTTTTTCGATATTATAAACACTTTCTGTCATAAGTTTTTTAATTTCTAACTGAATTTTTTGAATTTTTGAGAGTTTGTAGCTAACATTGTTAACGTTATATATGCAAAAGTTTAAGATTCTAGATTTCAAACTGATTGAGTTATAATGACCCGCGCCGAAATTATTCGCGCCGAATCAACTTCCTTTTTATTCTTTCCCTCCTTCAAGTCCTTTTTAGCCTAAAATTTTTTCAATATCCCTCAAAAGCCAAGATAAACCTCTTTTTTTTATTTTTGGGTAGCTATATTAGTATGCCGCTCTTTGGGAGCTCCCCCTTACTATTAAAATTACTTGGACAACAACAACAAAATAACCATCAACAATTAAACAACGAAAACAACAATATAATTGATAAAATTGAAAATTATTTTCCCCCTCCTCCAAATAATTTTTCATCACCAATTTTACAAAAATCTAATAGTGGTTGTTTATGCCGTACTTGCACTTCTATGTTTACGCGGAGCGAAATACAGGCATGAATGAGAGAGAGAGATTTGATCCTACTTACTTTCTCTGGGGGTTTTTGCAATCTTAGAAACTTCGTCTTTAGATCATCCTTAGTTTCATATCACTTTAAATAAAAATATCGAAAATCAGAAAAAAAATTTCAAGAAAATATATGTTCCCTTCACACTATTATAGAGTGAAGGGAACATTTGTAATTGAAAACCTTGAAGGTTTATAATAATATCTTATAAATATTATGATTTTTAAGGTTTTAAGACCTCACTTGTTTGAATCCTTTCCCTACATTTTCTTGAAAATTAAAAAAAATTAATTTTACAATTAGCATGTTCCCTTCATCCTACTCTAGAGCGAAGGGAACATTTATTAATTCTAAACCTAATAGTTTTGATATCTTATACTTTTAATGATTTTTCATGGTCATATAATCTTAGTTTCATATTACTTATAATATGATAATTGAAGTTTAAAAAGTTTCAGAAAAAATATGTTCCCTTCACCCTACGATAGAGCGAAGGGAACATTTCTTAATTGCGAGCTCTAATAAAAATGCGCATTAAAAAATATTTTTTTTGGCAAAAACTTGATAATTTTATTAAATAATTCCTCTAATTTTTCTCAAATTTCCAGTCAACACCTTGCGAACCAGTCTCTCCATCCCCAACAGTACTTTTGTCGCCTGTTCTTCTATCACGGCCTATACGTTCACAGAGTGCTCATTCACCCAACTTCCTTCGTAATTTTGGGGCTGTAGGTGGTGGACAACAACAACAAATATTACAACATTCTGATTCTGTAAGGAATTAAAAAAAAAGAAATCTTTAAGGAAAATTTTTCTCAAAAAGGCACTGACTTTTAGACCTAAAGTCAAGCATTTTTGGAAATTATAGTCAAAAATAAGAACGGAACTTGGGACCGACAAAAGAACTCGGATCCGAGAATGCATTACTATTTCAGGAACTCATGATTTAATATCGACCATTTCTAACCCTTACCATTTTTACAGAAAAAAAATTTTAAAAATTTGGGGCCAAACTTGTCAGCGTATAGGCGGATCTTTGGAAATCCCTGATGTCCGTATACGGACCTGATATCCGAACTTTTTTTTTCAGACACGGACATTCATATACGACACCCTTTTAGCATAAACTCGACAACTTCCTAATTCTATTTTTCTTTTTATAAATATTAAATTTTATTCAAAAATTGCCCACGTCCCTTCTCTTATAAAATCAATTTCCTTGTGACAAAAATTTTTTCAAAAAAATTTTTTTTTTAATATTTTGCAGGATTCGGAGCCCTTAACAACCCCATGTTGCTCTCGAGGCCCTTCTCTCCTCTCTCGTCAATCCCACTCACGCCTCTCCAATTCTCGCCTCTCTAATTGCTCTTCACCTCTTGCTGGCACTCCTCCACCTCTTGTGTGTAGCCCTCCGATAGGACTCGGTAGTGGAAGTGGAGGTGGATGTAGAAATGTGACTAGATCTGGTGGGTCTCTTTTAAATATTATAAAATTAAAAAAAATTTTTTGAAAGATTTTCAAAAAATTTTTTTCTATTATTTTGTCTATTTTCTTCTCTTTTTTCCTTTTTTTCTCTATTATATTTAGCTTGGAATTTGTCAAGTTATTTTAGTAGAAAAATAATTTCTGAAATTTGTTTTTTAATTTTTGATTTTTTACAAATTTTTTAAAATTTATTTTTAAAATCTTTTTTAAGTCTCTTCAATCATTTTTTATATAATTAGGTATTTTGCTTGTCAAAAAAAGATTTTTTCCCCTTCTTTCTATGTTCTCTCCCCTTTATTTTTATTAAATATTTTTTTGTTAGCTTTTCAACTTAAAAATTAATTTTTTTCAATTTAAAAAATTTTTTTCAAGTCTCTAAAATATTTAAAAAGTAAAAACCCTCCAAAATATTTTTTTTTTCTCAAAAAAAGAAGAGATACATATATTCAATTTATATTTCCCCGGAAGTTAAAAATAGGTAGTAGTAAAAGAGGGCTTAAAACTGATTTGAAAAAAGAGCTTTACTAAATGATTGATTACTTGACGTTTCAAATTTTTTTAAAGGAGGCTTTGAACCGTGAAAAGAAAAAATAAAAAAATAAATAATTTATTTAAGGCTGCAAAGGAATTAAAAAAGTTTGTTTGTTTGTGTTTATGTTGAAAAACTAGCAAAACCTCTTTAACATTTTCCTCAATAACTTTTTTTCTGCTTTTTCTATTTTTATAAAATTTTCCAGAATTACTCTAAAAAGTGTTAAAAACTTTTATTAAAAATTTTAGAATTCTCCCTTCAGTATTTCCAAAGATATGCCCAAAGAAAGCATTAAAACAACCATTTTTTCAGTTAAATTCTGATTTTTTTGACCATAAATTCTGAAATATTTGATCAGAAATTCTGAAATTTATAGACATGTTGGATAACACTTTTGAGCAAGTCTTTGCAAATTTTTATGATTTTAGGTGCGATAAGTGAGTGTTTTTAGGTTGTTGCGCCTTAACATTACCGCGCCGAATCGTCTTACTTCCTTTAATAATTTTTTTAAAATTCCCAAAATTTTTTTAAATTTTTCTAGCATGTTTATAGACTTTAAATAGTTATAAGCTGTTATTTTTGCAAAAAAATATTTATTTTTTATAAATTTTTTTCCAGCTTTATCGACTGCTGTCAATAATGTTTTAGGGGAGGAGAAGGGGGAGAGGGGGGAAATAAGAGGGTAGGGGGAGAGAGGAGGGGAAGATAGGGAGGGGGGGGGGGAGGAATTAACTATACTAAATCGGTTATGTCACGCTTTTTTGCATTTTTTAAGAAGAAAAACAAAATTTGTTTTGAAACGAAAATTTTTCCTTTTAAACAATAGGAGAGATAAAGTTGTTTTTCTCTAATTTTCCATTAAAGTTTAAATGTAAACAAAAAATAAACAGCCGTCCGCCATTTAATCGCAGGCGTTTCCAGCCGTCTGCCATTTAGTCGCCAGCAGGTTATTTTTTGAGAATTAATCGTGGCCACTTATTCGCAAACACTTGACTTTAATTGACACACATTAGAGTCCATAGGGACCCGATGATGTTTGGGAAAAATTGGATTTGTCATTAAGAATTTGCTGAGATTAAATGCTGATTAAGTTTTTTGATTGATAAAGATGATATAGGGAGATTCGAGTTTTAATATGGTTTCAGAGTTTTAATATGGTTTTCGGAGGTTTTGGGAAGTGGCACGGGAGGATTTGGGGTATAATAGGGTTAAGTTTGGTTTTGGAAGTGATTAAGAGGATTTGGAGGTTTTTGACCCTTAAAGTTTTGTTGAAGAGAATCAGTGATTGCGTAATTAAGAGGTATTTCGAGGTTTAGACTCGGCTATTAAAAAAGAAAAATAAGTGATAGCCGACGTGAACTAATCAACGATGATTAAGGATAAAGAGGCATATTTCGAGGATTAACGAGTAAAATGTTAATATAAGAGGATTTGGCAGACTAAGAATTGTATAAAGTCGTTTGGGGGAGAAAATGTGTGATACCTGGGACTTTGCGGAAAAAAGAGTGATATTTTCTTCTTGCGAAAAAAGAGATTTAGGAGAGATTTGGGGGTTAAGAGTGATATCAGTGGTTTTGTGGATTAAAATGATATAGTTGGTTTAGTGTGATTAACAGCTATATGGGGTGACTAAAGGGGATTTCGAGAGGTGAGATTAAGAGATACTAGGAGATCTGTGAGTGCATCAAGCGTTTTTTGAATTACTCATTAAATAGATGGATTTTGGGGATTGATAAGAATATTTGGGACTTGAGATGATTTAGAGTCATTTCTGGAATTTTGGTGAATTAGGGCAGATATCGGGATTTAGTCGATTAATGTGATATTAGGGTTTGAGGGGGATTAAGAGTGAGGATGGAGTATTTGTGGGGATAAAAAGGGATACCTATGATTTCAGGATTAGTTGTTGATTGAGTTATTAGTGGGCGATTAGAGTTTTTAGAGGAATTAGTGTGCAACTAAGGATATTAGAGTGAAGGAGGATTTGTGTTTTAAGATTGATATAATGGGTTTTATGATTGATATCTATAGATTTCGGGAGTTTTTGGTAAATTTATGAGGACTAAGATACTAAGAAGTTTAAAGAGATTTGGATGATAAAGGGTGATTATTGGGTGATTAGGAGTGAACACATTATATCTCTAAAAATCTCCGTTTTCCCTCTTTGTTTATCGATGATATCTCACTCTGCAGAGGAAATACCACAAATCAGGAAATACCACAAATCACTCTCAAAATCTACAGATATGAGATTTTGAAGGATTTCGAAGAAATAATATGTTAAGAGGTATGTTAGAGATTTGGGTAAGTTAGAGCGTTGGGGAGTTAAGAGATAACGAGTGGGAGTTAAGAGATAACGTTTTGGAGAATTAAGGAGGATATCGGTGATTTGGAGGATTTTGAGAAGATTTTAAAAAATTAAGGGTGCGTTTGGTTTGCAGTGTTTAAGTGTGGTCTAGAGCAGAATTCTCAGAGATATAATAGATGACGAATGATCTATTAGATGATAATTAAGATGGTGGGGGAAAAGGATTTTGCAAAAAAGATTATATTTTTCATTTTGGGATGGCTAAGAGGGAAATCAGACTCTTGGGCTAAATGATAATATCTGGGGTTTTAGTATAAATTTTGGTAACCAGACAATGGAATTCGTTTGGAAGAGATTAAAAGGTGTTTTACGAGCGTTTGTTCGCCGCGAAGCGGCGAACAAACGCTCGTTAAAATTAAAGCAGGGCTCTCATCGACAAAATGCCACTCAAAAGTATCAAAATCTTGATAAAAAAGTATATAGGGAGAAAATTTCCAAATTTAAAGTATACTCAAAATTAAATTGGAAAATATTTGTTCGTGCTCAAATCTTTTATATTTCTCTCTTAAATGAATCTTTTCTAATAATTTCTTGCTTCCATTGGGCATTTTGTGCATTTCAACGCATGACATGTCAAAATTCGCTGATACAAGAAATAAAGCCCTGACAGTCTTAACCTCAAGCTTTCGTCCATTTTCAGCGCCGCAGGCGAAAATTTTTTGAAATTTGGAGCCCAAGTAGTCAGATTTCTCCCATTTTCAGCGCCGCAGGCGAAAATTTTTTGAAATTTGGAGCCCAAGAAGCCAGATTTCTTTCTTTTTCAGCGCCGCAGGCGAAAATTTTGATAATTTCGAAGGCCCAAGGCTAAAAAAATTCACTTTTTTGCCCAATCCCTTCCCCAATTTCATTTTCAATCCAAAATGTTGATTTTAAAGTATATACTTTCAATAAAGTATAAATTCAATTTCTTAAGTATGGAGGTCGGTTTCAAAGTATAATACTTTCAAATAAAGCACGAATGAGAGCCCTGAATTAAAGCCTTTATTTCCCTTGTGTGTTTATATATTTTTTATTTTTCATTTCCTGCTTAAACAAAAGAAAAAAGTATCCCCTCCCTCCCTAGTGATTTGTTTTGCTGTTAAAAAAGGATTCTTTTTTGTTAAAAAATAAATTTTTTTTTGACTTTATTAAAAATAAAAATAGAGAAAAATGTGAAGAGGACAATATTATAAAAATAAATATTAACCATAATCACTATGCTAAACTTATTAAAATTTTCCTTTTTTTAATTGGTTAAAATAAAGTTTTAATTAGGCCAAAAAAAATTTTTTCTCTGACAAAAATTGTTTCTCTAACACTCTCTCATTTTTTCACATACTCTCTTACCCTTGCATGTTTTTTTCGGTGTATATTTGAATATTCTGATTTTTAATTATTTTATTATTTGTTCTGATTTAAGCTCTTTTTTTGTTTCGATATTTCCTGCTTTATTTAAACAATTAACTTTAAGCATTTAATTAAAAAATATTTTTTGTTATAATATCTTTATATGACGAAAAAATAATTTTTTTAACAAATTAAAAGATTTAAATGTTTTAATTAAAAAGAACCTTTGTTTTTTTTTAATTTTTTTTGTTTTTAATTTATTGTCAATTTATTTGGGTATTTTAGTTCACTAAATACATATTTTCCCATTTTTTCAAACGTCACACAAAATTTTTTCCCAATATTTCTTGAACTTGTTTTTCTTTCTTTTTTTCAACTTTTTAGTAATTCAAAATTTAAGGAAATCTTCAGGTATCTGGAACCGATAACCGAAGATTTCCCAGGAACCCCTCAACCTTAATCCCGATAAGTATTGCCCGTTGCATTTTGATGAGCCGAATCGAACAATACTGGGAACTATGGGATTTAAACATTTAATAATAGGTTGGGGTTTTCGAGTCGGCCGACGTTTGAGTCATTTTTTCGGGCTTCATTTTTTCGGACCTGTCAGACCAAGTCCTTTTTGAGCCAAAATTTGATGCCCGACTCGATCTTTCGGACCGGGCCCCCAACCCTAATAGAAAGGTATAGCTTGAGTGGATCTACGGCGTAATGTCCCTCTCCTATTTTGGGAAACAAAAAAGACTGATTTGGAA